ACATCCCAACATCCACAGACTAAAGAAATTCTTCGAACCTTCTGGGGTCATAAGGCGGAAACAAGTGGACTTTAGAGAGCTTAAATTAATCCGCAATGTTTTTAGTTCTTCCTCCTTTTGTCCTCGCCATTTTTGCAGTCTCTGCTTGTTTATATTGTAAAAGGATCTCAAGGCTATTTCGGGAATTTAGACTGAAGCTCATATTGTATCTCGCTAAATGTTGTCGATGCCCTCTTCAAGCACATTTGACACTCCTCGTCGCTTTTTCATGCACGCCTTTGGGATTTTGAGATACTGAAAAACTATGGAGTTCATTTTATGTAAAACCGGACGCTGTCGCGAAGGCGGCTCTCGCGTATGCGCACGTGAATTTTGCCCTCCTTTTCGGGAATGTCGATTTTTTAATATCAAAGGCGAACTCCACACACGCAAATAAGCATCGATTACCGTTTTTCTGGAGTCGACTTAGATGGAGAGTCAGCTGCTGAGGTGTGCCGTCCTTCGCCTCCAGCGTTCCAAAAAACATAGTATTAAATAGTATGCGGAATTAATTCAGGCTATGTCCCGTCGGTTTATCCAGTCATTAGTCGTACATGACCTCAGAATTCCGAGCCACTCTCCAAGGCAGACCCTGGGCTAGTTTGATGCCATCAGGGTGCGCATCTGCTGATAGGTCTAAGCTTCCCATCAGTCCTCTCACAGTTGGTTTTAAAACACTATTATCTGCACGGATTAATCATATGTGTAACCCGTTCACTTTGTACGTTTCTAACTGTTACGCATAAAACATTTTTCAAACATTCGCTTAAACTTTATGCACACGAAGTCCTGTTTCGGTGATACCTGCAAGTATGCGTCTGATTGCATATTTCATTACTCTGTTCAGGCCATTCTAAGCGGAGCGTACGACATTCAATTCAATTCAATTATTTTTATTAAAGACCCGTCGGGGTCCCATCAAAGCACAACATTTTGAGAAATTACCGACGAATTGGCTTTAGGACCTTTATGCGTAAAGGTTTGCTAAGATCTAAACGAGTCGTTCATGAGGAACCCAATAACGAATGTTTTAGAAATGACTCCAGATAACTGGATGCAGCTAGGACAAAAGGCGGGCAGGTAGATGTAGTGGAGTAAACAGGCAAACTGGCAAAATAGTGCTAACTCCCGGTCTTTTTATAATAGACTGAAATTTTGGCGGAGAAGACAAGAATTACTCCGAAAACCATTGCAGGTGACCAGTCCCCCAACCTGTTACCGGGACCACTCATTTGTTTACACTAATCAAGTAGAGATCAGACTTTTGGGTGCATACATACGACTTGCATATTTGCATCAGATCGAACCTCATGCTTTGGTGTCTGGTCTTCGTGTCAGTTGTCGCTGTCGCCGTCGGGCTTGTGCTCCTTTTTACGCGGAAGTACGAAGAGTTGGAAGATTCGGTTGCCCTAATTACTGGTGCTGGTGCTGGCCTTGGTCGAGCTCTGTGTCTAGAGCTGTCTAAGTACTGCAAGAATGTGATTGGGTGGGACGTCAATGAAGAAGGCTTGAAGGAAACAGCTCGCCAGGCTCTTGACCTATGTGGTGTGCGGATCAAGTGTCAGAAAGTTGACGTCAGGTTTGTTGAGATCATAGTTTCATCATTTTAGTTGTGCTGTAGATGTTCAAAAGGCCGCTGAAGAGTTACGACGCGAATTTGGAAGGGTAACTATTTTAGTAAACAACGCTGCCATTGTCGATGCGAAATATGTGCTAGACCACGCAAGAAAAGATGCCGAGAGGGTATTTAATGTGAATTTATTTGGTCCCATTAACGTGAGTCCCTTATTTGTTTTTCCACAAATTCTCCCACCTAATTACAGCTGCATATCACACAAAGACTTCGAATGGTTTCTATAACATCTCGAGCAATGCTTATCCAGAGCGTTATTATGCGTATATTTAATAATTACTGAGATCCCGGTTTGTGGGTAGAGCCTTTTTTGTATTAGATTGCGCTTAAAGACGCTGAGGGCGTACAGTCGACGAAATGCACACAGAAAAAGGCTAAACCAGGTTTAAACTGACAGCCATGGGATATTAAAGAATATGTTGTTTGGCAACCAAAGCATGAGAATATTGATGCCGAATTCAAGTGAGTATACTGGCAATTATGTATATTGCAGTGCTCCATGGTCGTAGTTGTGGCCGGTTGTTGATTTGTCATCTCTGTGATGTCATTCGATCTGCTGTGATTTGTGCAAAACATTTTCAAGCTTCTGGTAGTCATACCTTATGCCAGAATTATCTGCCCTTGGCTAACACCGAATATAGTTACTTATCTTGCCGTATACATCTTTTATTTGGTCATGCTCAATTGATTCGTGATTTAGGTTCTAATTTAGCCCTTAACCCAAATGATGGCTGATGTCATCACCGAATTCTCGTTATTCATTATTGGCTACTGGCTACTTGATAATTTCATATACCTAATGTGCTGCAGTAAGCTGGTGCGCGCAGAATTCTGACTTTGTATGCAAGACTCAAACGGCTGCACTAGACTCACAATTTTTGACGAAAGTGGGCGTAAGCTGCATTTCCCCATTCCGTCCTCTGGTTAAAATATCCAAACATTGCACCTCCGGTAGCGGACTTCACACTTCCGCAAAATCATTTGTGCTATTGACCAGTCGAGGAATAGAGTTCTGTCATATGAGGAGCTGACCGCCTAACTGTGCCAATGTTTATTTGTCCTGAGTGTGTTCTAAAGACTTTGTTTGAGTTTGTGTAACTAAGCCTCTTCTGTTGTACCAAAATGGCTTCTTGCTGCTTTTTTCCGTGTTCATTATTGGAGAATCCCAACGAGAACTTTGGCCACCTTCTGAGCCTCCTACAAAGACGGGGACTTCTAGACTTCAAGAAGTAAAAAAAGCTTCAAGTTGGGCAAAGAATGGTCCTATTTCCGCCTTGTTTTCTCTAGCGTTATAGAATTGCCACTTCCTTCAATAGCCGACATTGCCCACTTTAACGTTTTGATGACTGCCTTTGAGTCTACTGACCGGAGTTCTCTACGAAGGATCATAGAAGGTGGTAGACTGTTTGTGATTGCTTAACATCATATGTGGGCACCACTGCGATTTAAACTTAGTTCAAGACTAAAAACAATAAGGAGATTTCCTATGGTCCATTTGCACAACCATGTGGAGGTGTGTTCTTTCCCAGTCTTCTACTAAGCGGCTGATAAGATTCCTTCATGATCCTTGCATAACTGTGCACGCGTTTCATACCGTTAAACACCCCTCACCGACCCTGCTTGCGGCTACGTTCGTCGTTTCGATTCGTCGCTAATAATTCGCTGTTGTCCGTATTTATTAACCGTCTCTCGAAAGAAGTTAAGCCTTCTGGCGTGCTGATCGCCTAGAAACTAGTTGGCTGCATCTGTCCTTTATGATTTACACAGCCATTCGTTGGAGACGGTCAGATATTGGCTGTACTCAAAATTGATTGACTACGTACCCGTCCAAGCGTTCAGTGATAGACTTCCGCCTGGTGCGTTTTGCCGATACCGGCATCAATAATGGCTTCGACCATGTTCTTGTAAAGACCTGGCTATGACTAGGACTGCATGTTGCCAAAGACAGCCTGCGGGGGATTCGTTTTGGCTGTCCCTATCGTGCCATTATCGTTTGCTCTCGTCTCGCTGTCTTTAATTGATTCGCCGCAGAGACGCAGATGAAAGCAGCCCCTGAGGTGCTAATTAGTCATCGCAGGCGTTACCTCAATGGTCGGAGATCGGCCTTAGCGTTCTAACCACCTGATATTTCGGATTTGCTGGTTTTTTTGCGCTTAAGGAGCTTCCTTCACGAGATCGTGGGCTTCGCCTATCTGGACCGCAACGAACTTGGGAGAGCAACGGCCTCATATTTCGAACGCGTTCTGCCTACCAGCTTGGTACCGGGGAGTTGTGTCGGGTTCTGTAGATGAGTCAGTTCAGTAATCTCCCATCCTCGATGTTTGGGTGCAACCAAGTTGTTGCAGTAACGTTACAGTCAGGGTGAACACTCAGGTGAAAGGATTTTTTTTGCCGTCTTCTGAATCGTCCGTATACTGTCTATTTTGAGGATTTTTTTGCACTTAACTGTGCCGACCACTGTAGCCGTTCATTCCCATCTACAATCGGCTAAAAGGCCTGGAAAGTCTGCAAAATGTGCTTCTCGGTGGCACAACTAGGTTGTGGATTAGATCCTTCCCAAAAGGTGAATACGAAGTTCTCTGTCGGACTGGGTAATTAGCCGTAATATTTCAGAATGGTGTGTGGTCAGTACAACTACCGTGAGTGATCAATTTTATAAAATGTTGAACGCAATCCTGAAATGCGTTTTCGAGTAGGAAGGATTACTTAGGTGGGGTTGTAATACTGATTATCATGAGGCCAAGTCCTATAATTCTCCGGGTTCGCCAGGATGTCGGCTCTTGAATGCACGTCTTTTCGACCTTCCGTAGAAACCGCACTCAGTAGAAAATGACTTCTTAAGTAGCATGCACATTTCACACTGATTTTAGGTGATTTTAGGTCTTATGAATTTAAATATGTTTTGATAGAAAACATGCGAAAAATATGCTTTCTTTTAATTGTCTGGTAGAGAATCACGTTGTCTTCATAGTTTATGTCCGAAGAAAGGGTATATTTAGGTTTCAAGAAAGTTTCCCAATTCATGAATAATTTTGAGCCTGATCGGCCGTTGCATTAGGATTTAGCGCTTTCAGTCTGCAAGGTGTGCGCTCCCCTCGTAACGAAAATCGTATATTCCTTTGTGCCTTTAAGAAGGTGCTCTGCAGAGTTCATGAAACCTTACAATGAATGCGGACTATCTTGTACATTTCACGAGGAGCATTGGTAGACGGGCAGGTACCATGCTGTATGGATGTACTTTTCACGGTCTTAAAAAATCTCATAATTAGAAACTTTTCTAAAACCCAAGTGTACCCTTTGGTCGACAGTCACGTTGCTCTCACCTTTTATACCCAAACGAGTAAAAGAAAGGATATTTTCGTGCGCGTTTTCTATGAAATATATTTGAATTCATATGACCATCGAAAATCAATGTGAAAAGTGCATGCTACTTAGGTAGTCGTTTTTTACTGAGTGCGGTTTCTACAGGTCGAAAAGAAGTGCATTCAAAAGTCGACGTCCTGGCGAGTCCGAAATATTATTGGATCATGCTTCATGGTAATCAATATTACAACCTCACCTAAGTAATCCTTTCTAATCGAAGACGCATTTCAGAATTTCAGCCAACATTTCATGAGATCGGTCACTCACTGTACATTAGTCCCCTCCCCTCCCCCGCAAAAAATGAGCTGCGCCGCCGCGCTGGATTTAAACTGGACTACATAGTTCCGTAACACGCGTTTGGTCGACTGCGTTGTTGTGCTGATCATCAGCGATGGCCACATACGCTCGTCTCTGGCCAGTTTGGCCTGGACCCACCACTGATAAAGGATGGGAGAGAAAAGGGAGACAGACCCAACGCATATCCTTCCCATTGTTTTAGAACTCGACCTCATCGTCACCCGGCTTAGGCATGTCACTGGTGGAGGAGGCGAACCGTCCCGGTACAGATTCCACAAATACTTTCACAATACTGTTACAACAAAGCAACAGTCACGACCCTTGAAGGCTGCAAACTGATCGATAAGGCGTACCTTCTGGCCAAGGGTCAGATTGTAATGATTTACTGCGACTTTTCTGACAATCCGAAACCTGGTTCTTGTCCGCGTCTTAACCAGCTCGTGCGCAATCATCGATCGAACCGTTGAGCCCTCGCCCACCTTCAGTCCTCTCAAGTTTATATTACCATTGGGACATGGTGGGTGCAAAAACAGAAGAGTTGATGTAGTAAGTGCTGTTGTAGTTGCAATTTTCGTGATACAAATGACTATTAAATCACTTCCGGGAGCGATGGTAGAAGACCAGACCGCGGTCAGTCTCATTTAGTAACTTGATCATCGAGTTTATTTTTCGGTTCAAACAGCCAAATTTTACGTATCAGTATGAATAATTTTCTCCTGCTCACTGTCATCTGTATAAAGGAGTAGATTCCTGTAAGTGGCATCAGCGATACTAGGCACTGGTGCATCCAGGATAATACTTCTTTGTAATTTTTTGTCAATTACCTGTACTATGACGGTAGCATACACTGAGTAACCATTTGAAGCACAGGTTGTTGAAGTTTAGTGTTCACTGCCTCTATCTCTCCCCTAAGCTCGTTCACATCTTCTTGCCGGATATGCTTGGTGAGGCCTATGATAGGGTCCACGGTTGCATCCCAGATTCAATTCGTCAAACCAAATCTACATTCCCAGGACCATTACGTATTCCGAATGGCCACGTTGTCTTCACCTCGTCGATTGCCGGTCAAGTCGCAGCGCCGGGACTCTCAACCTACTGCGCTTCCAAGGCAGCTCTCTCGATGTTTGCTGAATCTCTGGGTCTAGAGCTTGCGCGACTGGAAATTTCTGACAAAATTCATGTTATGGACGTTCGTCCCTTTTACATGAATACAAACATGTTCAGTGGCTGCAAGTCGAGGTGAGCAAGTACCTTTCATAAGTTGGCAGCAAATGAAAATATAGGTACTCTAGTAAATGATTTGAGCTAGCTGTTATGCACGTCCTCAGTCTTCAGAGTCGCTTAAGTAGGCGTCATTTGTTGTGTTGCCCGCCTTCGCACCGATTTACCTGCCGTCTACAGGTGTGTTGATTCTTGCAGTCAAACTTGTCGCGTCATGTTGAGTGTCAGCATGGTTTGACTTTATGCTTGTCGTTTTTGCTGTGTCCTTCCCCCAACCTAAACGCGCGTACCGATTACGTGTTCCCCCTTCTCTGCGCTCTATTGCGATACCTCCCCATATCTTTGTTACTTTCTGACGTCGTTTGGATGTCGCCAACTTATAAATTCACTGATTCTACCTGGTCCCTCTGAACCTCTTTATTTACGTCAGTTTGCACAACCTGCAATGGTTCAATAATATGTGCTAGTACTGGTGCATGTTATCATGTCAGCCAACGGGTCCTCCAATGGACCGAATAAACATGAGCTAGTGACAGTTCGATAGTCATGAGCGACGATGTCCACCGTGTGCTCCACAGCGGGTGAGAGCAGAGACGGTGACTTATGCCTGATTTATCTTGTAGGGATAGTAGACTTTCTCTGCATATACCGCACTTTCTCCTGCCCCACCTACACCCGATGTCAAAGCAGAGTCAAGAAGACTAGAGGTGGAAGAGAGCGCAGATGCCTGGCACGGCGAAAACCGCACCTGGGCATTCCATCACAGCCTCTGGTCCGCCACGTACACTGACCAGGATTTTACGCCGACAAAAAAAGGGAATGACTCGGATCACACTGAATTGGAGTACTATAGAGGCCATATTAAGAACGACCTATTACAGCCTGAGTCAGTCCACCAGTCGACCACTCCACACAAACATGCTGGACTGACTGCGAGGTCCGATTTATCCCGTCAGTTTCCAACCTCCCAAACCACGGCTTTTAACATACCGTGATATCTTCAAACACATCAGGCTCTTTATAGTGAGGATTTATGCGCTGAGAGTCAAACTCACTCTACCCTATCTCTTGCACCAGTATGCTGCCCGAGCTAGTCAATACAAGCCCCCCATGCACCCACTCCATTACTTCACACACAAGGGGACGGATCCATCGGATCTCGCATGCGGCAGAGAAGCCGCATGAAGAATGGAGCCGAAGAGCACACTTACATGAAAGAACCCGGTGGTGTGGGATGTTGCAGGTGTTTATGCATGGTGCATGTGTTGGGGGAGAAATGTGTGGTCATGTGTGCGGTGATTTGCCGCAGGCATTCGTGAAGGTGCTGGTAATCATTCTGGCACAGTATAGTACGGCGTGGATGACATCAATCAACAATTTGATAGTTTAAGCCATCAGATCCGGTTAGTCCACTACCTGACCCCGCCTGATCACCCATTGCCTTTCCCGCCTGTGACCGGCACAGTCAGAATGGACCCTTTCTCCGCCTTGCTTATGTATGCACGTGGCATGAACACCGTTTCTTTTCCTAAACCACGTGATGGAGGGGGTTCCACTGTCAACGTGTCCGCTTCTTGACCAGTTATGGGCTCCTTTGCGAATTTGCTAATCAAGTAAACGCTTCTAGTGTGCCAAGTACGTATACCAAGTTGGATTCAGTTGTAGTAATTATTAGTATTTCTGAGTTCTAACTATCCACTTTCCATTTAATATTCTCATCGAGAACTGCCAACAACTAAGTCGACCTTCCTAATTCCTCTTGACTTCGCTCTCATATAAATCTAGTTGTTACTTCTAAACGACCTATACGGGGCACTTTTGTTTTCTTATATAGACCGACTCAATAAGTTTCTTGCTTTAGCTCTCAACCTGAGCCGACGATGCCATCATGTCTCCTTGGCCAGTCAATTTCTTGGTGATTTTCTTCTTTCATTTAAGACTTCCTTTCCTTCTCCCGGTCGTTCAACCAGAAGACGTGGCCCGTCGGATAGTAAATGGTCTCCGCCGCCACGAATCCGTCATCTACATTCCAGGCAGAATAGCTTTGATTCCCATGATAAAGCAGTAAGGACTTGCATGTCTCTATCCGATGTTTTTTGTGGGTAACATGTCTGGGTGTGCTGTAGTGGCAAAACCGTGTGGAGATGGCCGTCTGCCATCGATTTATTTGCTCTTTCTAGTTATAACTTTCTGGTCATATCTGTGCTGCCAGGGGTTGTGTGATTTAAATTTACGGTGAGTTATGAGCATGCAAGACCGTTCCGTGGAATATCATTGCTAGTTGAGTGCTGCGCGAAATCTTTGACCAGCCAGACGTGCAGTTTTGGTCTACCGTGCCCAGCTGCTAAACAGGAATTTCTATGCGCATGCAACCCGTCACCACAATGGGTTGTTCAGCCGGACATGGATGTCGGCTTTGAGAACTTGCCCGCATATCACAGTCGGTGAAGCCCGTCGCACTTGGCCATATGAACAGTCGAAAGCTCCTTACAAGTTTCATTTAAGTATCTCCGACGCCGTTACTTCCATCTGTTCAAGCAGCGTTCGCTAGGTGTCTGTGGTTCGTCCCCTTTGACCGCTGCTGATAACTGAACAGACACATCCCCGTGCCTCGTGACAGGCCAGTAGTAGTTTAGCGTGCTGTTTTATCGTACGTGGAATCGTAGTTTCTGATACATCCGTCATCTGCTAGTTGGTTATGTGTAGCGTTCGCTTATTTATTCGGTCTAGCGCAGCTGGCTAGTGTTGATTGTTTCCGTGGGATCTTGGTTGTGTGAAAGTTTATGACGTGGTCACGCGATCAAACGAACCGAAGTCCACCTAGAGTCAGTCGGTTATAGCCGAGTTGTCGATCAGCGCCAAAGTTACATTAATGTCTGCACAATTTCGGGTCTAGAGACGCATGGGCACTCCTCCTCCCCCCCCCCTGCTCCTGTTTTTTTTTCGTTTTTTCCCTTGTATCGTCTGCCACCGTGCAATCTCCTTTATTCGCATGTTTTACACTCCACTTCTTGCGATTGAGCAACTAACGTGACCCTCAGGAGCATGTGAACCGCGCATACGATCACGCTTGACTGAGCCTACAATAGGCGGTATGTCTCCGGAAATGTTACTATAAATTCTGATATGTGTTCTCGATTAGAAGTGATTATTAGATGGGGTTGTAATATCGTGCAGCATAGCCCCAAGATATTTCCGTCGCGCCATAATGCCATCTTTCGAATGTGTGTTTTTACTGCCGTTTGCAAAGGCCATATTTGGTAAAAACGACTACTTAAGTAATGTGTATTTTATGCCCATTTTCGAAGGTCTAATGAATTAAATTATATTTTGTAAGAAATATGTATAAAAATATATTTTCTTACACTCATTTGATAGCAAATTATTTCTTCCAATGGGTAAGGGTAGCTTTCGGCATCAAGAAGTTTCGTAATTATGAAACTTTTAAGGCCGTGAAATGTCCATTCAAATAACTTCGTACCTGCCCGTCTATTAATGTCCCCTGTGAAGTATTCAACATTTTCCACGTACATTGTAAAGTCCTATGAGACATTTGCGGTACCTTTTTACCAGCATAGTTAGGAAACCTTAGTCTCGAGTACAACAAACATTGTGTTTAATATTATTCGGTAATGTAAAACCTTTTTTTAGAACTGGAAACTACCCTTTCATGTATGACACTGGTAGAGCCCAAGAAAGGGTGTGCATGTTTTCTATGGAATACGTTGTAATTTGTAAGGGTTTAGGAATTCAATAGAAAAAATGCACATGACTTAAGTTGTCGTCCTTTACTTCATTTAGTTTTTGCTGACGGTCGGAAATAGGCTCATTCTACGGCGAGCGTCCCGACATGACAGAAATATATTGGGATTATACTGTACCTAAGTAATCCTTTTCAAGCCAAAACACATGGCATTAGGTACGCCATTTACTGTATGTTTTGTCCGTCCTGCCTTGTTCTGGGGAATATGGGCCATCTCCTATCACACCCTTTTGACCCGAAGACACGCTGCGCTATCTCGAAACTGTCACTCTTGGCTTCTGGCCTCCACTGAAAACATGCGCTATTGCGACACATGTTCACCGGCTTTCTGGCCGGTTACGCGAGTTCTCATTTCGTCTATTGACAAGCACGTATGAGCAGTGCACTTTATCACAGTGAGAATCTCCGCTCTGTAGTTTTCTGTCTGGAAATCTGTCGCACTTGGTCTAACAGCGTCGGTAGTATTTATAGGAATATCGGATACTCAACTAACAGCAATAAGATTGCCTTTATTTTGCGACTGTATTAACCGTCTTTTTTTCTAGCATTTTGCCTAATTGGCTTCTGTACCTGCTACTTGTCATCTCCGGTGGTACTACGGCAGTTGACAACTTCCGTGGAGTGGAACCAAAGGGCTTATAGCTCCGCTACCCTTTACCCTCCACCTACGACTTTTCAATCAATGTCTCTTCCCCGTCCGTTATTTTCACTGCTTGTCCGTAGTCTGACTTCGGGCGTCTCCCTTGGCAATTGACACCTTTCCCTTATGAAGTCTTCACTTTTGTTTAGTGATATTCTCCGGAACTAACCTTCTTAATCTTAATTAATCCTTCCTATTTCTGCCATGTTTTTTTCGCTTGAAGAGCTGTACTAAAGGACATGCTTACTCTATGTCTTCAAAGAACTTTTATCTCTTACCGGATAGTAGGACGGGGGTCGTAGAATTTTGTTCGAAATCATTTGAACAACCTACAAGCTGGTCTTTGGAAGTAAACCTGCCAGGCTCATGTTCACCCCTCGGCTCATGTTCACTTGACTTAAGTACTGCCAATCTCGCCAAAGTGACTGCCTAATATTGGTGTCTACTGAACTAACAGTTAGTAGCGTGCTCAGTACTCGGACAAATTACTTCCCATACCCCCACCACAGGTACTTGCTAGGTGCCCGGACACGTGTTTCGCTAACTTTCAGTGAACGCCACCGCTGGGTATACAGGTCGTGTGCATGGCTGCCCAGCCATCCGTGTCTCTTCTGCTGTCGTTGGTCGGAATCCTGGTTAAGTGTTTGTTGTGGGTCAGGAAATGTGGAGTGGAGCGCCAAGGTGCGAGTTCGGTCGCGCCATCCACCTGCAACCTCCCCGTCTTCGTTCATCTTGACTCTGTCTTTACGCCGGACTCAGGTGATGAGAGGGTGCGGTAAATGCAGCGCAAGTCCGCTCTCACTATAAGTTAGTTCACGCCCAAGTAACCGTGCCTATTTACCTTGCTGTGGAGCGCACGGTGGGCATCCTTAGCTGCGACGGTCGAAACTATGGTGAAGCCATCTCTTTGCGCTAAAAATTACCTATTTCAACAGATTAATCATTCTCTATAATGCCAAAGAACAAATATCTACTGACTTATTCGTACCGAGGGTGGATCTGTGCCCGTCGACACTGTCCAACCCAGGAACCACTGGACCAACGATGGTCTGCATGTCTCATGAGGTGCGTCACATGGTTCACTGAAAAGGCCTCCTGAAGTCGGAGGTGCGGGCATTCGGACAGCAGTCTGGTAAAGCAACTTAATGGATTGATCCCACTTAATGGATTGGATGCCCACACCCTGGGGTAATGAAGTAGAGACGTGACGGACGGGTTTATTTCGACGTGTCCCGTTGCAGGCACGTTTACTAAACAACCAATTGAGACTAAATTTTCATGGAAGGGGGCTCCAGATCGAAAGTTATTAAACGGGTTTCACCATCTCCGTTCCTAGATGGTTGGGCTTACTGCCCCCGGTGATGCTGTGATACACGCGCTCACAGCCTGTCGAGGTACTCCAGACGCCCCTGCGTTTTATCCATTTTTATAATGTTCACTTCACCGCGGGAGAACTCGATTTGCAATTCGGCCTTTTTGAATTTAGTCTACGGCGAAGTAACTCATATTACCAACGCAGGCGACAGCTATAAGCCAAGGTATGTTCTTCGCAGGGGGACACATCGATGAGTCGAAACCCTCGCATTTGCGGCATGGAGCAGTAGAAAGTCGGTGGAACATTGGTCCGCCGTCGTAATCAGGATCTGTGCTAGAATGTGGTGAGATAACCTGTTCCAGCTTACCACATTCACTTGCAGATCGTGGGAAGTTCTGACTTGACCATTTGTGCCGAGTCAGATTTACCGGTAAAGGGATTTCATACCAAAAGGGGTGGAGAATGTACTTCTATCAGGAGAATACACTGTACCAGGTAATTTACGCTGTCGAGGGCATGAACGATCGCAATTTTAAACTGCAATTTTGAATTCACGCATCTTAAGTTAGTTTTTACTTTTGCCAGAGCTAGGCTCCTAGCGTCTAATCCCAGGGGGCAAACTTATGCTCTTATGCCCTTTCGTAAATTAAATCGGAAACTGACTGTCACCCCCTTGAACTGGTGGGAGCGTAACGATGGAAGTGTCCCACGTGTAGACAGTAGGCAGTTACACGTGTTATTTCCCATAGATTCCCTCCTAGACCTGACGGTCTTTGTTTCTCCAAAATCAGTTTGCCGAATATCTTCACTTCTGAGTGTTCGTCCCCTCGACTCAATGTTCATCTGGGCCAGGAGTATTTCTATAGTTATGGGGGTGCTTTATGTTAGGGTTAATGCCTGTGGACTGAGTCACCAAACAGGAAGGGTCTCCCTTTAAGTATCTCAGTGCTTTACGCTCAGACGACCGGATAGGATAATTTGTTCCAATTTCCAACACATCAATGGAGAGAAAACTAATTGCCATCACTTCGAATTTGGCACGCTTCATTTTGAGTTTGTATTTGCTTACTCCGAAGGTCTGCTGCTTGAAATAGTTAAAAAACGTTCGAATTAAAGTGCACAGTCTAGTACGTTCATGGTTTTAAGGACTACGAGCGCATTGCCTCTACATCAGTTGCATGATATGAGAGGAATCCCGAGCTCTCGCCGTCGTTTTTCATCAGTTGTGGGTTCCGAACCGCCTTGGAATTTCGTCGATCTCCATCGTACACATCCCATCATGCAGCACAAAACGGTAGGGCGAAGGACGCTACTTAACTGTTGGCAGACTGTGGAGCGTTTTATAAGTGATTGGTGGTAGTGGGGGCTTTGCGGGTGGAGCAGCACGCCAGACAGTAAGTTGACGAAGGGCAAGAAAACACAGAAATTGTTTGGGTTTCTGCCGAAAGTCTCGCCGTACGCTTTCATATGGCAACGGATATGTGCCTGCTAATTAATATATAAACAAAAAACGAATTTCAAAAAGCAACACTGAGTAAGGGTTTGAGGTCGTGGGAAGTAAGCGTCGTTAGCAGTGTAAGGTCTGCAACGGCCTGCAAATGGGTGCCAATTAAGTGGGGGTCCTTCACCCTACCGTTGTCGAGCGACGTTTATCCTTCTTGGGATGCCATATCTGAGCACAATATTTCGAAACCAGTCAGACGAGTTCTTGAAACGCAGTCAAAAAATGAATGAAATATCCCCCACTTGTGTGTAGGACAAACACAGCTTCACTGGCACATTAAGCAGATCGTTTGTGGGTGGTAATCGTCCATACACTGGGATCTTTCTTCGTTGACTAATCCGGACTAGCGACTTTCGATATCGTATGGAGTCTGATGGCCACTCCTCCGCTTTCCTGATCGCAGACGACGAACTTGACATTTGCGAAAATTAAAGGTTTGATGGTCTATTATTTCACTGCATCTGTGTTCATCTCCCGTTAACTTACATTTTAGCGCGTCCTTGGGTCGCCTATATATCAACGGATATTGGAATCCTTAGTAAACTTTACTCTATCACAATTCAATGCCTCTAGACAGTTGTTAATGCATTAAAACCATGCCCATGCTCAGAATGCATCCCCGCAAACCCCACTTGGCAACATTCCTCTAGTATGACTTGACATTATCAATGCCCATGCACTGGGCTTTTCCCTTGGAAGGCAGGATATCCGTTTGATCAGGTTCCCGCTTACCTGGGGGCACTGTCTAGTGTTGTCAGCGTAGATTGCATCTACCTTTATGCGGTGTCCACCATTTGTTGAGACATCGCTGGCCTGGTGCATGCTAAGCAGACCCTTTTCCGAGAACTTTCGACAATTCAACACTTCTCCCTAAGTTTTCAGCGAATTCTTATAATGTCGAGGCTATGCGATGATGCCACTTCGTCCTTTTGCATACATGAGCCTACGTTGCCCCGCTTGCAATACGTAGGCAGAGCTCCGATCTCCACTGATTTTCAAGGATGTTGTAGAGCAGGAGAAATATTAGCTTGCGAGTTTATTTAACGCTTTCAGAGATGTTATGCAGACCAAGCGATAAGGTATGTTTTAGCCATCCCCAACTCTTTCTTTACTGCACCTGTCGTGAACTTTCCATGTTAACCGCACTACAGGGTGTTACAACTCGTCAATGTGGAGAGGAATAGATAAACTGCATAGCAGGGTCATTTTCTCTTACCGTTTAATTTGTTTCCTTGAACATCCTTCAGTCGGAGAATAGAGCCTCGACTTCATTTGGCTTTGTTCCGGACTGCAACTGGTACGTGCGAGAGGCGCATCGTTCCAACAGGCGTCCAAAGTAAGGCCTCTACAGGTGCTCTTTTTGCGGATCGGAGTCCGGATGAAAAATGTGAACGTAGGAGGAGCGTTTTAAACTGGATGACTGAGAAACGTACCAGCAGTAGGGTTATTGACAGCGCGAAAGACCACGCCAGACATGAAGGAGCCGAAATTATAAGGACGGCTAGAGAAAGCTGGTGGTCGGTTTGTTGAGTTGAACGTGGACGGCAAATCCGTTTACTGTGTTTGTATTTGTTGGTTTGAGTGAGGAGATGTCGCTGGTGGTTGAGGAGATAAAATATCGGATACTGGCATGGAAATCTGGGCTCTGGCAGTGGTAGAGGGCTACTCTGCTGCACTGGATCAGAATCATGGCCTGGATTCGATGGGGTTGAGGTTGTTTGATGACATTAATCTCTACTCATGATAAGGTGCCAGCAGCCGCGTTTTCCTATCCACGGAACGATAAATGACCCAGGAAAAGCAAGTGGGAATTTACTGACGACTTAACTTAACCAGGTCTGGCAGTTGCGGTTCGGTCACTCCCAGTTATTCAATGTCGAGAGAGCTTAAGTCGTAGTGAAACCCTAGCCACTACGGCTTTCAGGACCGGTCCCTAAAGAAGGAAGTGATGTCAGATGACTGTAGATTGACAATCGGATTCTGTACAGAAAGATTATAGAGCAGGTTAGAGAGCGTTAGCAGTCGAACGAGGGGCACAGGTCTGGTATCGCGAAAACAAGCGTCTCGAGTGCCATTGCGGCAGATGTCCGAGCTGCTTGAGCGAGGGAAAGTCGGGGGTCGGCCTTGAAATCGATTGGTTGGTCAGGGTGGCCGTGATTGGCCGAGTGCTAAATTGCCACTGA